TTAAGAGTTCTGATAACAGGATTAGAGATGTAGCTCAGTGGCAGAGCACTTGCCTAGCATGTATGAGGCTCAGGGGTTCAATCCCCAGGACCACCAAAAAAGAAAAAAAGTTTTGAAAACAGACAAATATAAAGTAATAATTGCCAAAGGTCATCTGTGAGACCTAGATGTATGAAATTTATTCAAACAAAGAAGTTCAATGACTATACCATGGAAAACCTAAAATGATTGGGATAAAAGCAACTCCAAACTCATATAATCACTTAAACATGATTTTAAAAACCCAGTTCAGAACAAAATAAAAGCAGGCCCTAATTTCTGGGTTCATTCCACCTTCAGATTCCAGACTATGGTTAAAAACAGTTTAGTTGCCTGCCAGCTGGTGAGTACCAAAGCATTCCTTTTTGGTTGAGTCCTATTCTAGTGTAGTTGGGGAATGAGTAAGAATATTACTTTGATAATGCAGTAAAGGCCAACGCAACAAATGTACAATAAAACTTTTCTCTTTGTAGACTAGTAATGTCCATTTAAGTTAAAGAACCTGCAGATTCAATCTGCTATGCCAGACTGAGGATAAAGTAACCAGCTGCTTTTCAATCTCCTAAAATTTACAACAATATACATACACTATATCAAACACAAATAAAAACACACACTAAGCTGCTCAATATCTAGAGAGTAAGGAACTAATATATACTGTGTCAGAAACCATACGGAAACAGAGTTCATTTAATCCCCACAAACACCCTGCAATGTGAATATTATTATTGCTATTTTTACTGATGGGAACACTACAGCCTAGACAGATTAAATAACTTGCCCAAGGTCACAAAGTAAATAAGCAGCAGAGTTGGTATATGAACCTAGTTTTGCCTAACACCAAAGCCCATACTATCCTGACTTTTATTCTCAATGGTGTAACTATGGCAACCTTCTTGGGCCTTCATTTCACCTTAATTCCTAACATAGTACTTAACTGTGTGTCTTGGATAAGTTTCTACAACTTCACAAATGGACAGAAAAAAATTTCCAGAAGACTTCTCCTTTGTCTTTTTTTCCCCCTCCCTTCATTTCCTTCCCATTTCTGTGCAAACTATTTCTTCTCTAGGTTAAATCACTGGGCTCAACCTAATAGGCTGCCATACATTTCAGCAATCAATAAACCTAAAGGGTGTAAGTTCTATTTCCTTCCTTAAACAACCAGTATTTGAGCACAGCATTTTCTTCTAATCTGGTTCCTAGTACAATTCCTTGAGCATAGTAGGTACGAGTAAGACTGTATGTTGAATCACTAACTTAAAAAAAAAAGTTTTACTCCTCTAGCTACTAAATTTAAGAGATGTCAAAGGAATCCAATTCTATAAGTAAATTCTTTCACAATAAAGATGGATTTTTCAAAAAGTTAAAAAGGGCCAAGAAAAAGGTAAACTGAAATAAGACAATGTAGAGTTTAAGACCCTAATGACTGACTTGTAGATGATGAATTTAAAAGCTTGAAAGGCTTGATTTAAAAATATTGGCATTCAGAGTATTTTTCAAATACTTCCTGCAAAAAAATAAAAAAAGAAATAAAAGACTGTAAAAACAAACACAGACAACTCTTGCTCAGGATGTTAAGACTAATGACTCTTTTCCTGTTTTTACATATATTAACTTTTTCTGCAGTATTATTTTTTAAGTGTGGTAAGTGGTTTCTCTCGCTGGATAAAATGGTTATCTTTAACACTTTCCATACAGTGTGGATTTACTCTCCTTAGATATAATCCATAGAAATTAAGTATTCATTAATTCAAGCATGTGTCTTCTAGAACAACTTGTTACATAATACCAGCATATTAAAGATAATTATTTTTCTTTCCATTGATAGAATGTTTTTCTTGCTTTAAGTGGTCACGTCCCTTTGTATTCTTTTCATGTAGGTACAGGATTCTTGTATAAAGAATTTCATTAAGTCCCAATCTTTTTTTGGTAAGCACAAAAATGACATTTCCTCATAAACTAAACCTAATTTATATGTCTTTTGATTTGATTTATGTTAACTTTTCAGTGAGATTAAAGTACTTCAATCACACTGGAATCCATGTGGAATGGGCTATTTTTGTGGTAATAAGTTCCCTACCAATGAAAGTATTCGAAGAAGAAATCTCATGTAAGAGGAATTCCTGGGTTAGGTGGAAGGGTGAACAAGCTTAATTTTAATGGTCCTCTTCCCTTTCTATGAGTTTAAAATGAATTTTTTGATGAATAAACTTTGGTGATACAATGGATTACAGACCAGCTTATTGTGACCTGTCTCTTTTGCAGCTCATATTCAGATCAACCCAGGGAAGATGCCCTTCTGATCCTGATTAGCCTGGCAAGCTATCTAATTCTTTCTAGTGAAAACCAAATATCCATAATATTATCAGTGTCTTGCTATTTGAAATGACTGAAATGTACTGAATTAATGCAGTCAGCAGAGTGTCACTGTATGATTTACTTATGGATCTGTGGCAGCCTTTTAAACACTGTCTCCATGAGGGACAGCCAAAATGAGGAGTTATGTGGGAGTAATAAAATATGATAACTAGGCCTTCAACCTCAAATACAAACCCAGCTGCGCATACACATGGACATCCACAGGAAAGCCTGCTAAACKAAGGATATAAAGCAAAGAAAAATCCAAATCCTGTCCAGCATGTGTGCTCTTCACAGCAAAACTGGTTGGGGAACTGTCCTTTCAGCACCACACCACCAAACCCTAGTACAAGCCTAAATAAAGGCAATCCGAAGCTGGAGCTCAAGAAAAATTTGTTAAGGGTCCTACAAGGAAGCAACTGTAGGGTTATGTGTGTTTAAGCAAGCTATATTTTCCTTAATTATTCTTTATCAGTTTAAAACAAAATCTTCCAAATATTTTGATAAAAGCTGACAAAGCCCCAAATGAAAACCAAAAGCATATAAAGTCAGCCTCTCAAACTGAACCCAAGAAACCAATAAAACTAGCCTGTGCCATCAAGAACTGCTTTGCAATACCTGTGACCAACCCTACTAAGAAACACAACGCATTTACATATACCCTGAATCAGATGTTCAGAGAACATAGAACATGCTTGCAGCCTTCTCCAGGGACAGCCTCAATTTCTAGGACAGAGAATGCTTGCTGAACAAGGAACCATCACTACCACCCCCACCCCCCAACAAGCAATCAAATCCTTTCAGGGAGAACTGAAGGCCTTATAGGTCATGAGTTCCAAAGGAAAAAAAAAAAAAAAAAAAACAACGCTGCAGTATTTCAAGAACCAGGTTACAGACAATGTGCTACAATGTAGCTTTTGTCATTTTAAATCTGAATTCCCCAAGATTCCTACCATCCTGGTACTAGGCTGTAATGTTGTCCAGCCATTTGCATTACACATCAAAAAAATTTTTTAGGAAGGAAAAAAGCCCCCTCCCCCATATCTTCTAATGCACGTGGAGAAAAAGAAGTACAGAGAGACTGTGAGACAGTGAAAAACCTACCACACCCGATATCTCTCTTGGAAAGCTAAAACATCCCCCAGCCCTAACACACCACTAGCTCTCTAAAGGATCTCTCCAGGTTTAAACTTGAGAAAACAGTTATTTTTAAAAAGCACTCTCCCCTCTTTGCCCTCAAGGTCCTCACCCACACTTCCTGCTTCCATCCCTGCCTCTCTGGTGCCCACTGTGCATTTAAAGCGGCTTCTCTTGTGTAGCAGAGCTTGCTCCATGCTAATTATTACTCCCTCCCCCTGAATTCAGCCAGATGCAATGCAAAGTTTTTTCTACCCACCTCCCCCAAACAGATGACATTCATTTATCATGAACACTGATGTGAATCTTGGAATCTCCAGATATAAAATGTATTCCCCCATGCTTAAAAACTGCAGTGTAAGTGAGGAAAAGGGCATAGGGTGGAGTAGTTGGAAGCAATACATGGTTTAAAGAATCCTATTTATCAAGCTGAAAAATGATTCCCACTCTATGCCAACTCAAAGCTGGGTCCCCTGGAGGGGTGTAACAACCCTGGCCTACTCCCCCTCCCCCTGAAAAGTTAGCTGCCAAGTCTCCACCGGTGGTTGCTGCTGGCAATGGAGAGGCAATGGAGAGGATGGAGCTGAGCTCCCAGGAGAAATGCAGAGGCTCTGCGGTCCCCCAAGGTACCAACAGAGAAGTAGAGAGGAAGGGTCCAAGCTGTGCAATTGGGCAAACAGTCAGTCCTGGACCCTATGCTAACAAGAAGCCCAGAGTGCTGCTGGCGGTGGTAAGGGTGGGGGGGAAGGGGAGCGAGGAGGAGAGGAACAAGCTCTGCATCGGGTGGCGTATGGATGGGGGAAGGGGGATATTCGGAAAGTGATGTACTCCCTAATGCAGGAATCCTAGCCTGCCGAGGAAGGTCCCGGGCGCCCCCAACACAGCCACAGAACACCCTATTAGGAGGGGGACAGACACATCCGAGTAAAGGACAGGGGAAGTCCTAGCAACCCAAAGAACCCAGGAACACCTGGCTTCTGCAGTTGGTAGCAATCTGGAGCCTGATCAGGGACAAGGATGCAGTAAGACATGGGGGAGGGGGAAAGGCTGAGGGGCTGTTGTAGGAAGATCCCGACAGTGCTGCCCTTCCCAGAGCAAGCCCGCTAGCGACCCGACTCTACCCCGGCTGGGGGAGGGGGATGCACCACGGAAGGGGCACCGAGGGCAACCCATGTCCCCCAGTGTAGACTAGAGAGACGAGGAGAGGAAGGTATCCGGGCGTGGGGCCGTGGTCCTAGATTCTCCTAGGGGCCCCCAGAAACACGGTAGAAGGAAGCAAGACTTCCAAAACACCTGTCCAAAACAGGGAGGTCAGAAACTCGGCTCCACAGCCCCGCGAGCCCCGCCGCGCACTCTGCGGCAAAGCCCCTGACTGGAGAGGGGCGAGCCCGCTCAAGGGTCCCGAAGCGGGAAGGGGAGCCCGGGGCGAAGAGCAGCGCCAGGGCGGGGGCTCCAGGGCGACTTACGGCGGCAGCGACGGCGAGCGAGGCAGCGGCGGCCCTAGTGCGGGGCCCGGGAGGCGCGGCCGGACTGCAGAGGCGCCGAGGCTGCGGCGGGCGGGACTGCGGTGGGCGCCATCTTGGAGCGCTCCCCGCGCCCGCCCCCCGCGCCGCCAGAGTACTTGCATAATTGATGACTCGCGCCCGCCCGCCGCGCGCCTCCGCGCGCGCACCCGCCCATCCGCCCCTCGCCCGACCCCTCCGCGCACTCCCCACGCCCGACTGCCCCCGCCCGCACCCCGTGCCCCGCGCCCGCCCTCGCCCCGCGGCCCACCTACCCCTGCAGGGCGCGCCCGCTCGCCCACTGCGCCCGCCCGCCCGCTTGCTGGCTTGCAGGCCGGCGTCCCCGCGCCGCCGGGACCGGATCCGGGCGAAGGAGAACAGGGCGCCGGCAGGGGGCGCCGCGCCGGAGCGCCAGCGAGCGTCCCCGGGCCCGCCTCCACGACGCCCCCGCCGAGTCGCGGGAGGGGCCGCGCGGAAGGCCGCACCGGCCGCGGAACCGCTTCCCGCAGACACCGGAGTGGAAACCCGAAAGGTGTGGTGTTGACTCGCGCTCCGCGGCCCCTGTCAATGTCAAGTCGTACCTTTCTCTGGAATTTGTCTGGTAATAGTACAGCGCTCAGTTGTTGAAGTTTCTGATCTGTAAACCCAAGGACTCGATTTACTTCATCTTTGGCCAACTGGTGAGACTCGAGGTCTAGGTCTACCGACAGCACGTGGAGGCTTGTGTTTCCGCGGCCAGGGGCCTGGTATAAGTAGTGGGAAGACACAGGGCCCAAGTCTGAAACTGTGTCCAAGTCATCATTCTTGCTGAACCTCAGTGTGTCCCTCTGTGAAGTAGGCATGAGCATTTGAACTGCTTTCTCCCCATTTCTGAGGATCTACATAATGAATGCGAGAACTTTTAGCACTTTATTTTGTCTCTTTACTGCAAAATAGGTCTTTCTACCACAAATTCACAGTTGAGAGTGAAAAAGTATGCTCAGACTGCCACTTACTAACTGGGATGCCTCTAAACAACTTCTCTAAACCTCAGTGTTCTCCAACTGTGCAAGGGAACAATCAGTCTCAGTACTAATCTCAGATTTATTGTAAGGACAAAATGGGAAGAATGCATTTGGCACACTTCTTACAAACTGGCACACAGTATGCCTACCGCCTAGTGTGCCTCACTATATGCATTTTAAAGTAATTTTATTGCTTAATAAAGCAATAAACTGCATGTTTAGAGTATACATTTTGACGTATGTATACATGCATGAAATTATCACCACCAAGGTAATGAACACGTACATCACCTTCCAAATTTTCCTGTGCTTCTTTGTAATCCTTCCCTGCATCTCCCGCCCCCATACACCCTCTCTAAGCAACCACCGATCTTCTTTCTATTACTGTACATTAGTTTGCATTTTCTGGAATTTTAAAGAAATGGAATCATACAGTATGAACTCTTTTTTATATGGCATCTTCCACTCAGCATAATTATTTTGAGATTATTCTGTTGTTGCCTATCAAAAGCTCATTCCCTCTAATTGCTGAAGAGGAACCATTATGCAAATACACCACAATTATTTATCCAGTCACCTATTGGTGACATTTAGTTTCTTTTTGCTTATTACAAGAAAAAAAAAAAGGCTGCTAAGTGCATTTATGTGCAAGTCTTTAGATGGACAAATACTTTGATTTCTCTTGGATATAAACACCTAAGAATAGAATGATTGACCCTATTGTAAGTGTATATTTAACATATTTCAGAAGGTCCAAACTGCTTTGCAGAGTGTTTTATACTCCTGCCAGAAGCGTGAGAGTTTCAGTTGCTCCACTTTCTAACCAACATTTGGTATGATTTGTCTTTTTTATTTTGGTCATTAATAGGTGTATAGTGCTGTGATTTTGACTTCTGTTTTGCTAATAACTAAAGATGTTGAATGTTCACAGCTTTTCTTTGCCTATTTTGGGCATTGTTTTCTTATTGAATTTTAAGGGTTATTTATATATTCTGGATACTAGTCTTCTATGAGATAAGAAACTGGCAAATAGTATTATACAATTTCCCAGTATGAGCTTATCTTTCTTCCTTCCTTCTTTCTTTCTTCTTTCCTTCCTTTCATTCTCCCGCCTCCCCCCAGTACTGGGGATTGAACCCAGGGGCACTCTACCCCTGAGCTATAGTCCTAGCCCTTTTATTTTTAATTTTGAGACAGATTCTTGTTAAGTTGCCCAGGCTGGCCTCAACCTTGTGATCCTCCTGCCTTGGCCTCCTGAGTTGCTGGGATTACAGGTGTATGCCACTGTGCCAGGCTTAGGTGTTTTTTTTTTTTAATTTTTTTTTTTTTTTTTAGTTGTAGATGGATACAATACATTTATTTATTTATTTAGTGGTGAGGATCGAACCCAGTGCCTCACACATGGTGGGTAAGTGCTCTACCACTGAGCTACAACCCCAACCCAACTTAGCTGTTTTTTGTTTGTTTGTTTGTTTGTTTAATTTTTACAGTACTGGAGATGTTTGCCTAGCATGCATAAGACTTGGATTCAATCTCCAGCCCAACCCTTCCCAACCCACTCAAAAAAGCAGAAGTAGTTCTTCATTTCTGTAGTGTCAAATTTATTTATTTTTCTCCTTCCATGGATCATGTTTTAATCAGGTATGTAAGGTCTAGCTCTGGACACTTTATTCTGTTTCATTGATATATATGTCTCTCTTGACACTACGAATACTCTCTCTTGATTATTCTAGCCTTATAATAAATCTTGAAATCAGGTAGCTCACAAACTCTCACTTTGACCTTCCTTTTTTAAATATTGGTTTTGCAATTCTGGGTCCTTTGTATTTCCATATGAATTTTAGAATTAACTTATCAAATTCTACGTAAACAAAAAATTCACAGGGATTTTTATCAAGAGTACATTGAAGCTGAGTGCAATGGTGCATAAAATATAATCCCAGGGATTTGGAAAACTGAATGAGGAGAATTGCAAATTTGAGGCTGGCCTCAGCAACTTAAAGAGACCCTCAGGAACTTAACAAAATCTTGTCTAGAAATAAAAAGATAAAGGAGTTGGGATGTGGCTCAGTATAAAGCATCCCTGGGTTTAATTCCCAGTACTCCCCCCCAAAAAAATTGAATATATAGATCAATTTGGAGAAAACTTATATTAGAATTATATCTTCAATTTCATAAACATTTCATTAATTTCAGTCTTCATGAACATCTCTCAGTGTTTTGTAGTTTTCAGGAAAAAAGTCTTGCTGACCTCTTGAATTTAGTCATAAATATTTTATATTCATAAATTTATATATTTTATATTCATAAATATTTTATATTTATATTTAAAAGTATATTTTGATTTATGATTGATATTCTATATGAATACATTAATTTTTGTATTTTGAGCTTATATTTTATGTTATTAACTCTAGATTTTCTTTGTACAGTCTACCAATAAACATGTTATCTGTGAATAAAAAATTGTATTTCTTCCTTTCCAATGTGGATGTATTTGTTTTTCTTGCCTTATGATACTAGCTAGACCCACTAATACAATGTTGAATAGAGGTGATAAGAGCAGACATTTTTGTTTTGTACCACATCTTGGAAWAATTCAACCTTTCACCATTAAGTGTGATATTGACTATAGATTTTTCCTAGATACTCTTTGTTATAATGAGAAAGTCTTAAGGAAGACTTCTATTTCTACTCTGCTGAGGGTTTTTATCAAGAATGGATATTGAATTTTGTCAATGCATCTGCATTTTTTTTCTTTTTAGTCTGTTAATATAGTGGATTATACTGATTTTCAAATTTAAACTAAACTTACCTTCCTGGGATAATATACTGATCATGACATAGTATCCCTTTTACAAACTGTTGGTTTTGATTAGCTAACTTTTGTTAAGAATGTTTGCTTCTGTGTTCATGAAGTTAATCAGTTTGTAGTTTTGCAATCCCTTGTCTATTTCTGGTATCACAGTAATGCTGGCCCATAGAATAGATTCCCTCCTCTTCTATTTTCTGGGAAAGTTTATATAAAATTTATATTATTTTTCCCCTAAATATTTGATAGAATTGCCAAGTGAAATCATCTGGACCTGGAGTTTTCTTTGAGGGAAAGTTTGTAAGTGCAAGTTTAATTTACTTAAAAAATATATGGGAGCAGGGTTATGGCTCAGTGGTAGAGCATTTGCCTAGTTATGTGTGAGGCACTGAGTTCGATCCCTGGTACCACATACAAATTAACAAATAAAAATAAAGGTATTGTGTCCATCTACAACTAAAGAAATGTTTTTTAAAATATATAAGGATACTTGAGACTTTTATTTCTTATTGACTGAACTTTGGAAGCTATGTCTCCCAAGGAGTTTGTCTATTTTATGTAAGTTGTTAAATTTATGTACATAAAGTTGTTTGTATCATCCATATCATTTTTTTAGTACCTATAGATGGTATAATCTTTGCAGTACTCTCTCATTGCTGTTACTGATGATTGTTCATCCCCTTACCACCACCACCCTCCCAACCCCAGCTCCATCTGTCTTTTTCCTGGTAAACACTTTTCTGGTTTCATTGATTTTTTTTTTTTTTGTATACTGGTTTTATACTGGTTTTATGTTTTGTTTTATTAATTTTTATTTGCTTTCTTCTGCTCTTTTAGAGTTTCATTTGTCCCTCCAAACACAGACCAGTTTCTTAAAGTAAAAGTTGAGGTAATTGATCCCAGACCTTTTTTCTTTTCCAAAATAAGCATTTAATGCTATAAATTTCTAAGTCCTGCTTGAGCTACACCCAAAACTTTTGATATGTTGAATTTTCAGTTTAATTCAGTTTAAAAATGCTTTCTAATTTTCTATTTGATTTCACCTTTGTATCATGGGTTATTTAGAAGTAGATCATCTTGTATTCAAATATTCAGAGATTTTTTTCCAGACTACTTTCTGTTAATTAGTTTCTAATTTTATTGCATGTGATCGGTCAGTGATTTATATGACTTAAATGCCTTTAAATTTTTGACTTATTTCATGACTCAGAATATGATCTTAGTGTTCCATGTGCACTTGAGGAGAGTGTCCTCTGCTGTTATTGGACCGAG